CATCAAATTCTCGAAGAATAAATCACCACACTGCTCTTAGTGATGGTGAGTATGTCTAGTTATATAGATGTACAAGGTGTTTACAAATCATTCAAGAATATTTACTGCTCAATTACAATGAAATTGATGGAAAGAATATCCCATAATTGAGCTAGATTAAAATATAATTAGGCTAGAATAGTGGGGTCAAATATATTACATGAATTATGCCTTGGATTGGGCCAAAGTATCCTCAACAAAAAGTATCTTTTCTGTGAACATTGCATCTTAGGCAAACATCGTCGACCCCACTTTAATAATGGAAAACATAAGACTACTTCCGTTTTTTAGTATATTCCTTCATCTACTGTCACTCAATGGGGAAATAAATATTTTCTATCTTTAATTGATGAATTTTTGAGAAAAATATGGATTTTTTATTAAAGCAAAAATCTCAAACCTTTCAAAATTTTAAAACTTGAAAAACTTTGATTGGAAAGAAAATTAAAATCCTCATAATTGATAATGACTTAGAATTTTGCAATACTGAATTTGACATGAGTTGTAAAGAAAATGGAATTCTAAGATATAAACTATCCTTTATTCTCCATAGCAAAATAGAGTAACTGAAAGAATGAATAGAACAATTCTGAATATGGGGAAGGTATATGATGATTAGTTCTGGAGCCCTCAAAGTATTGGTCAAAAAAGTTCAGTGACCAAAAACCATGGTTGCTAGTTGGGCACTAATTCACTGTAAATGAATGTCTTTATTGGCCAACTTATAATTGGTCGCTACCTCTAGAACATTCAATAACCTAACTTTGGTTGGTAAAGGACTTGGTTTGGCAGCTAATAATTGTAAAAAAATTAGTAGATTTGCACCCTTTTGCAACTGAACTATGGTCGGTAAAAAGCATCAATTGAAACTATTGTCAATTTTTAGCACCCAATATTTGTTCAGTGAAGGTACACCATTAATGACCATTTATTAGGGTTGGTAACGAGACGGGTTAGGGATGGGGAGGGTTACGGACGGGGAGGGGTCCCCACCCTGTTGGGCATTTTCTCGTCTCGTACCCGCCCTGTTACTAGTTTGAGGAGGGGCAGGACGAATTTGGGTGATTGTCCTGTTTAAATACCCGTTTATTTTTTTTTAATTTTTAATTTTTGATAATTTATTTTATTGCCCCCATTTATTTAAGTGAGGCAATAATATAATAATTAAAATTTTTAATTAAGTAATTTATTTTTAAAAGTTAAATTATACGAATATATTTGGTAAACTCAAGTTTTTATTATTCATCATAATCTTTAGATAATCTTAGTTGTCATCTTCTATTAGAATTAATGAAATTTCATAGAGTTTTTCCGTTTAAAATATTGAATTCTTTATAAAAATAAAAAAAATTAAACGGGGCGGGGCCTGTTACCCGTACCTACCTCGGGGGGAATTCCCCACTCCATACTCGACCGATTAGGCAGATAATCACCACCACGTTCGAGATGGGACCCCACGAGTATTGAATTTGACGAGTATTTTTGCTATCCCTATCAAATACTAGTCTATGAAGAATAGTTGGTAAAAATAGTACCTATCACAAACCAATCATTGGTCAATGAATGGTCAATTTTTTATTTTTTAAATCTTTTAACAACCAAAATTTTATTGCAGAAAGATATTTACCTACCAAAATCCATTTTTGTCAAATGTTAAATAAAAACCATTAAAGACATTTTAACAATAAATATTTGGTCGCTGCTAATATTTTGACTAATTGTTTAGTTGAATTTTCAACAACCACAAGTTAGTTGCTATAAATAATTAGTTGTTTTAAATGAATAAATATAAAAAAATGCACAGGAGAAAATAACAAAATTAACAAGAAACAATAGTTGCTACAAAATGATAATTGTCATTGCATATATAACAATTACTAATAAAATTTAATAAGAGAAAACGAAAAAATGATAAACTGGAAAGCATAAAATCACGGAAATTTATTTCATCTTACATCTGACGGAAATGTAGAAGTGGAATGGTAGAAAAAGTTGCATTCCCCTACTTGGTAAGTGAAGATTAAGTTTTTTCCCTTTCTGAACAAAGTTGGGGAAAGGGGGTATGGCAATTTTGGTTAGATATATGGAGCAAATTCTTAACATGACATCATAGCATCAGCATTATATATCTTCCTGCTGAATTTCTTCTCAAGCTATCACTAGTCTAAGATGAAGAATCTTGCGGAAAGCTTTCCTAAGACGATAACGAATATGGATTACAAGAACCTTCTTTCTCCAGAATCATCAATTTGCCTGCACAATGTAAAACGGAGTGATGATCAACATGCTACAAAATGGTGATTGGGCATAGAATAAGTGTTAATCAAGATAACTTTTACATTGTATCGTTGATGTAAAGATCTTTCAAGTCACTCTTAATCCTTGGTTTGTAGTTTCCAAGTCGAACAGAGCTTACATACACACCAAGAAGGTTAAACCCTAACCAATTGCATTCATAGAAATTTAATGGCTGAATAAAGAAGACGAATCCACTAGCTTCTATGGGGTAATGACCTGAGCAACATTCTCCTTAGACTCAGTGGGCTCAGCATCCTTGTCCATGTGAATCTTTTGCAATGCAGTGTACATCTTGAAAAAACTGATTAGTAAAAAAAAAAAAAAAAAAATTGACAAGTAGAGGTTTAATTAGATGTAGATCTTCCAAGCTAAGCAAGTAACCAACCTGAAACAAGTGAAACCAATATGTCAGAAAATATTCCCAATAAGAAGTCAGAAAAGATGTGTGAATATGTGGGCTGCGTACACAATACATATTATGAGAACAATGATAATCAGTGAGATACATGACTAGAACATATTAAAATACTGATAGACTACTCATCAGAATTAAGTTTGCAAGACAGAGAAATTTCCTTTGACTTCGTAAAATTTCCTTATAATAAAAATACCATTTCTCTGTTCTTACAATTGATTGAATATAGAGTAATCATGTTAACATACAAACAGTTATCCTTGCTTCTTTATTTAATTGGCTAGGGTTCATATCAAATTAGCTTTACTAGTAATCGGAGGTTTTTTCACACTTAACATCAAAGTGAATACTAGTATTTCTTTATCAGATATCTGAGGTTTTCTCATCCAGAAATTCAAGTGCTCGGCAATAGGAATCAATAAAATCACAAATCCATAAAAAATCAGACAATAGCAGGAAACATTAGCAGCAAACATTCAGAATGTAGCAATCAATGCATTGCATAAACTGTCGGTTATAAGATCTAAATTATACAAGAAATTTTGACAATTGGCTATTGAAAGGAAAAAAACCCAAACATCCTAAAGTAGAACTAAAGAAACACATAGAACAAGAGCGCACCAGTGTACCGGCAAGCTTTTGTTCTCTGGGCACATCCCGCGATTTACCTCCCTCACGATGCTCTAGGAGCGAGATGGGTGGGGTTCTCAAGGTTGAGGTGCAACCTTCGTTTTTTTTATTTTTTATTTTTTTATTAAGAAACACATAAAGTGTAAGTTTCAAGTATGACAAAATGCACAATCATTTTTAAAAAAAGAATAAACTTTTAAATGAAGCCAGCATTTCAATGGAAAACGAAGATGGTACCAGATATAATTTTCAGCATAACTAGTTCTACAAAATAGTTGTCTTGGTTAGTTTGGATTAGGCAAAGTTGAAAACTAACATAGGAAAATGAAAACCTATGTTGATGAAATAGGTTTGGACTTGCTGTTTCGACACGGAAAACTGGAAACCGGTCGAAATCTGTCTGAATAGTACTTGAAACTGAAGTAATTGTAAATCGAGAAAGTTCTAGCTACATGTTAGATTGATTCAACCGCCAAAATCGGTTGACTGGTGACTAGTTTGGATAATTTGCTATACTAAAGTTTGTAAGGGGTTAATTAGGCCAAGCACTATAGCATGGCCCTTATAAAGAACAGAATGTCTTCCCCTTTTGGTGGAATTTAAAATCAGATTTTTAGTATATTTTGATAAAAGTTGATAAAATATGGGGTTGAAAAATCGTGGATCCTATGAAATATGTTGTTAAAATTAATTGTTAACTTTAACTTAGATTAAAATTTGGATTTCAATAAGAGGGCATCTTCAGTTTATCCTATCTTGTTGATCCAAACCAAAATGTTGTCATTCTCGAAGAAACCATCCTTGCTCGTAACCTGTTAGCTTGTGCATATTCCCAATTCATAAGGGATTCTGGAACTCTCCCAAAATCCACTATCTGCCAGGCTTCATAGCCTCGGCTACGTCGAAGAAGACTTGGAAAATTCAGAAAACGTATAATCTATAATGGGTCTTCATATCATGAATTATTTGTTCCATTATCAAGCAAATTGTCCAAGTACTGTGTAGGGTACGCTTGATCCAAGAACTCCGTGCCATTGCCGGAGTATGGGAATGTGACTCAAATTTTTCATGAGTTAAGGCGTGTGCTTTTTGCTATTTTTTATTTTTGCATAGATAATTGCCTCTGTTTGTGCACCGGCGTTTGCATAAATTAGTTCAGTTGCTGCCTTTCAAGAGTTTTTTGTTGTTAGCTGGGTATGCATTTATTTTTACCACCATCTGTCTTTATATACAATTTTGGAGGGGAAAAATGGAAAATAAAAGTTTGGGTAACTTAAAATAACCTATGAAAATTGGAATGGAAATTTACGTAACTGTGTAATCTGAATTGTTGAACTATTAAATATGAATTAAAACGAGCTTCATAAATAGCCAAACGCCTGGAAAGATCTGAAAACGTGTATAAACCACTAAGGAATATAAACATCAATAACTATAAAAAATAAATTAAATCACTAGTACTTACTTAATAACCGTCAAATTAATGAGACCCCCACTAACTCACACATTAATTCTAGCATGAACGTTAATGCAAATAAATGATATTCAAGCATTATATAATCGCGTCTTCGTGTCCTAAATTCTCATCATCAAGGATATCTTTTCCTTGCATATTGAGATGACTTCCAAATTTGTTCTCTTGGTTCTTCTTGGTGTTCTTATTTGCACCACCACCGCGAGAAAGCTAGTTGGCTCAGACGGTTCTTTCGATGATGCAAAATTCATTTTTGATCATTTAGGAGGTGGCGGTGGTGGGGGGGGTGGAGGTGGTGGTGGAGGTGGAGGAATAGGGGGTGGTTCTGGTTTCGGAGAAGGATTTGGTGGTGGGTTTGGAGGTGGTGCTCAAGGAGGAGGAGGAGGTTTTGGCGGCGGAGGCGGTGGTGGAGGCGGATTGGGTGGAGGATCTGGTAGTGGATTTGGATTTGGTGCAGGATACGGTGGTGGGATAGCACAAGCAGCCGCGGAAGAATTCATGGTGTAATTAATAAAGTTTCAGTCTGTTGCATTTCTTCAAACCTAAAGATTATTTTCTTGGCACAACCAAAATAAACTACTTGATTGCAGATCTTTGATTTTGTACACAAATTTATTCAAAAAGCAAATTTTAGTAATGTAAAATATAATATTTTTAAAGTGAAGGTGTGCTGAATTATTTGCATTTATATTTTTGTAGGCCTTAGACACAAATTAAACAGCGCTAAATTGAGCAAAAAAACATGTTTGAGCATTCACAATCTACAAGAAAATATAAAAGTTGATTCCCTCAAATCAAATTGGGCACGAACTTCATAAAGATTTTTTGCGAAGTAGTAAAATAAATGAAACTTATAGATACCCATGCACTTAAATACGTAAATAATGCAAAAATAAATTTGTACGTTTTGGAAGTAAATTGTCATGAGTACGAATTTGCCTTCAAACATTTTGCACAAATTTCTTTGTAAATTAGTAGTGCATTCTATCAAATTTTGACGAGTTTTACAGAAGAAAGTAAAAGTTTTTTGAGGAGTTGATATGTCATGGTGAGTTTAGATTGAGCAAAGATGAAAACTCACATAGGAACAATGGAAACCTGCATTGATAAAACAGGACTCGACGGAGATTATTTCGACTAAGAAAATTGAAAATCTGCCATAAAACTGGTCCCGGTAGTGCTTCAAAATGAACTATATTGTAAACCAAGAAATTCCCAGCTATTAAACCGAATCATTAACCAAAACTGATTGAACCCGTGACTTGTTTTGGCGATTTGGACACTTGGATATCCAAAAGTTTGTAACAGTTAATTAGGCTAAGCACCATAGTATAGCACTCATTAAGAAAAGTACGTTTTATCTAAATGAATATCAATAACACGGCATCTTCAATCCATCTTCTTTCGTTGATGCAAACCAAAATATTGTTATCCCTGAGGAACCCGTCCTTGTCCCTTACCCAGATAGTTGTAGCTTGTTTCCAATTCGTGGGGGATTACAAAACACTCCCAAAATCCTCCACCTAACTCATGCGTGAAAAGCTTGTAGTCTTGGTTCCATCGACAAATTAAGACAACGAAAATTAAAACCTATGCTGACGAAATAGGTTTGGACTTGCTGTTTCGACAGGGAAAACTGGAAACCGGTTGAAATCTGTTTGAATAGTGCTTGAAACTGAAGTAATTGTAAATCGAGAAAATTCTAGCTATATGTTAGATTGATTCAACCGCCAAAATCGGTTGACCGGTGACTTGTTTGGACGATTTACTGTACAAAAGTTTGTAAGGGTTAATTAGGCCAAGCACCATAGCATGGCCCTTACAAAGAAAATAATGTTTTCCCCCATTTGGTTGGGATTGAAATCAGATTTTTAGTATATTTTGATAAAAGTTGTTTAAATGTGTGATTGAAAAGTTATGGATCATATGAAATATGTGGTTAAAATTAATTATTAATTTTGACTTAGATTAAAATCGATTTCAATAAGAGGGCATCTTCAATTTATCCTATCTTGTTGATCCAAACCAAAATGTTGTCATCCCCTAAGAAACCATCCTTGCCTGTAACCCGTTAGGTTGCTCATACTCCCAATTCATAAGGGATTCTGGAAGTCCCCAAAAATCCTCTATCGGAAAGCTTCATAGCCTCGGCTACGTTGATGAAGACTTAGAGCCTGTTTGATTCGTACGAATTCCATGGAAAAAGGAATTTGAATTCCACCTTTTTCAAATTTTGGGTGTTTGATTCGTTTTAATTTTCATGGAATTCCATTTCCTTGATTTATGGTGGGAATTGGCTTTCTAACCTATTGTTCACGGTTTATTTATTTATTTATTATTATTATTATTATTATTTGCAATGGAAACAAAATTTAAGAGTTATTGTAAAAAAATATTTCACTTTAATTGACAATTTTCATGTAAAACAATGTCAAAAGAACACCAAAATATAGATAATTTTCTTGATTTTTTTTTTGTTGGCAATGGAAACAAATTTCATTTCCAATATCAGTAAAATTTATCCCTTTAATTGACAATTTTCATGTAAAACAAAATCAAACGAACACCAAAAATCACTTTTATTTCAACATTTTTCACGTGAAAAATTATACAAATCAAATACAATAATTTACAATTCCCAGGAAAACAATTTCGAGGAAATTCAATTCCCTGAAATTCATTTTCAATTCAATTCAATTCTATCTTTGCAATCAAACGGACCCTTAGAAAATTCATAGAACGTATAATCTATAATGGGCCTTCATATCATGAATCATTTGTTCCATTATCAAGCAAATTGTCCAAGTACCGTGTAGGGTACGCTTGATCCAAGAACTCTGTGCCAGTGCCCGAGTATGGGAATGTGACCTAGATTTTTCATGAGTTAAGGCATGTGCTTTTTGCAATTTTTTATTTTGCATTGATAATTGCCTCTGTTTGTGCATCGGCATTTGCATGAATTAGTTCAGTTGCTTCCTTTCAAGAGTTTGTTGTTGTTAATTGGGTATGCATTTACTTTTATTCTACAATTTGTATTGCTCATTTTTTTTAAATGACTCAGGTGTCTGAGCTTCGTCCAATTAATCTTAAAGAGTGACAGTCTTCCCCCTGATTGGCCATTCGGGTAAATCCAGATGCGATTATAGCTTATAAACACTTGGACCAGATATTCGGGATGCGGTTATTTTCCCTGTGGACCTCCCTTTACGACGTGCGGACAGAACCTTCGAAGAAGCAACAAAGCGACCATAACTTTGCCTCTATAGGATATTTGCCTTCCAACATAAATGTTGCCTTCCAGCTGTCGTGGGGATTCGAACTTTGATGCTACGTAGAGAACCCTCCTACTATATCGTTTGCCATGCCCGTGGGGACTACAATTTGTATTGTTTATTTTGATTGTGGTTGAACTTTTTACACATGCAATAACTACAAATGCCAGGCAAATATTTAAAAATGGGGTAGATTTTCTGTCGCAATGCATTACAAATATTAACTTGCTGATTCTCGTTCCCAACAATACTCATCGAGTAAAATCTCATTTCTTGCATTTTCTTCAAAATCCTTGATACTTGAGTTGGAAATTTACGTAACTATGTAATATGAATTGTTGCACTATAAAATATGAATTACAACGAGCTTCATAAATAGCCAAACGCCTAGAAAGATCTGAAAACGTGCAAAAACCACTAAGGAATAGAAACATCAATAACTATAAAAAAAATAAATTAAATCACTAGTACTTACTTAATAACCATCAAATTAATGAGACCCCCACTAACTCACACATTAATTCAAGCATGAACTTTAATGCAAATAAATGATATTCAAGCATTATATAATCATGTCTTCGTGTCCTAAATTCTCATCATCAAGGCTATCTTTTCCTTGCATATTGAGATGACTTCCAAATTTGTTCTCTTGGTGTTCTTATTTGCACCACCACCGTGAGAAAGCTAGTTGGCTCAAATGGTTCTTTCGATGATGGAAAATTCATTTTTGATCATTTAGGAGGTGGTGGTGGTAGTGGGGGTGCTGGTGGTGGTGGTGGAGGTGGAGGAACAGGGGGTGGTTCTGGTTTCGGAGAAGGATTTGGTGGTGGGTTTGGAGGTGGTGCTCAAGGAGGAGGAGGAGGTTTTGGTGGCGGAGGTGGTGGCGGTGGTTGAGGCGGACTGGGTGGAGGATCTGGTAGTGGATTTGGATTTGGTGCAAGATACGGTGGTGGGATAGCACAAGCAGCCGCGGAAGAATTCATGGTGTAATTAATAAAGTTTCAGTACGATGCATTTCTTCAAACCTAATGATTTTTTTCTTGGCACAACCAAAATAAACTACTTGATTGCAGATCTTTGATTCTGTACACAAATTTATTCAAAAAGCAAATTTTAGTAATGTAAAATATAATATTTTTAAAGTGAACAATTTATTGGAGCACATTAATACCATAAATTCAAAGTGTATAAGTTCGTCCATTGCTTAGTCCCAAATTAACAAGTCATATCCAACTTGACTCCGATGCTCAATTCAGAGTCGACTTTGACATACTCAATTTGGAGTCGACTTTGATTGTGTCACGAAAGATTTTAGGTGTGCCAAATTATTTGTATTTATATTTTCGTTGGCCTTAGACACAAATTAAATAGCACTAAATTGAGCGTTCACAATGAGCAAGAAACTATAAAAGTTGATACCCTCAAATCAAATTGTGCACGAAATTTTTTTCTTCATAAAGATTTTTAGTGAAGTAAAATAAATGAAACTTATAGCTACCCATGCACTTGAATACGTAAATAATGAAAAAAAAAATTGTACATTTTGGAAGTAAATTGTCATGAGTACGAATTTGTCTTCAAACATTTTGCACAAATTTCTTTGTAAATTAGTAGTGCATTCAACCAAATTTTGACGAGTTTTATGGAAAAAAATAAAAGTTTTTTGAGGAGTTGACATGTCATGGTGAGTTCAGATTGAGCAAAGATGAAAACTAACATAGGAACAACGAGACCATGTGTTGATAAGATAGAACTCAACATAGATTATTTCGACTAAGAAAATTTAAAATAGGCTATAAAATAGCTTATTATTATTTTTAAACAAAAATAGCTCGAGGTATTACCAACATCTTCTTTTTCTAATTTAAGCGGAAATATCACTTTCATTAGGTGTTGAAAATGCATAAATGGCTATTAAACAATGTGCACAAAATTCAATATGAAGATGATTATTCAAATAAAAGTTTGACAATTATATTTTCTAGAAAATTTACTTGGCGACCCCATAAGCATCACTCGATCAATTTTTCACGCATCCACACGACTAGTTCTAATATAAAATTTTAGTAAGAGTGAGTATTTTGAAAACACTCAGTAAGAATACATACACATTCTCATTTACATGATATAAAAATAAAATTGACATAAAATACCAACATTTCTTAAATTTAGAGCTCAAGGAATTTCTTAAAAATCCCCATATCCCGTAGGATTTAACATCTTTGATCAAACGGTCCATCCCGTATGATTTAACATCTTTGATCTAACGGTCTATCTCGAAGGATTTAACGTAGAGTTCGACTCGAAGGCCTCATAGCATTTTATGCCAAAAATTATACAAACATCAAGGAATAAGAATTTACTACTTTGCATGATGTATTTTTACATCAGTTGACACCCAAAATTCTGAAAAAAGTGGCTCGAAATGAAAATGTGAAAGTGAATAGTGTGTGTATGTTAATATAAAAATGAACTTATAAAATTAATAACACAAAAAAACTCTCACCTCACACCCTATATATAATCATTCGCACGTAACCTTCAAGGAATTCAAAAGCATGGTGACTTAATTCAAAATTAATAAGGTTACTTATGAATTAATTAGGTTAATTATTTTGGTAATTATGTCAGATATCTTGTCAAATTCCTACGTGAAAGTTCATCTCTTTTTTCATTGTTTTTTCTTATTATTTATATTAATAAAATATTAAAGGTTAACACATTTCTTTTTATTAGAATAACTCGAATAGGACTAACCCAAAATTTCTTTTTCTTGAGCCCAAATTATATTATTTAATATGAGCTACAAAATGAGTATAATGTTTGATATATTTCATCAACTTCTAAAATAGTTAAATGCTCCACCCAAATAACTTACGATAAATTCTTAAAACTCGTAAGCAAGGTAAATCTTTGATGCGAATAAGTGAGTTGAACTTATCTTTTAACCTTTGGATTTTTAGTGTGACAAAAAATCTAAATATGAATTATTTCATTTGCTAATTGACCCATATTAAATTTAGGACCACATGAAAAAAAGTAAAAAAGTTTGGGGTGTTACATTGGATATCCAAAAGTTTGTAACGGTTATTTAGGCCAAGCACTATAGTATAGCACTCAGTAAGAAAAGTACGTTTTATCTAAATGAATATCAATAACACAGCATCTTCAATCCATCTTCTTTCATTGATCCTAACTAAAATATTGTTATCCGCGAAGAACCCGTCCATGCCCCTTACCCAGAGAGTTCTAGCATGTTCTAATTCGTGGGGGATTAAGGAACTCTCCCAAAATCCTCCACCTAACTCATGCGTGAAAAGCTTTTAGCCTTGGTTCCGTCGACAATGACAACTAAAATTCAAAAAGTGTATAATCTATAATTCGATTTTTGGAAATAAGTGATGGATAAGTGAGGGTCCTAAATAATGCATGGTTAAAGTTAATGTTTAACTTTAATAATTAACTTTTTAGTATAAAGAATTGAATTCTTAAAGAAGGCTATTATAATTATGGTGAAGTTATGATCTTAATACACATTAATAATGTAAACTACACAAAATAAGAAAAAATATTTATCATCTATTATTTCAAAAGTGAAAATCTTTGAAGAATAAATCACCACACTGCTCTTAGTGATGGTGAGTATGTCTATTTATATAGATATACAGGGTGTTTACAAATCAATCAAGAATATTTACAGCTTAATTACAATGAAATCGATGGAAAGAATATCCCATAATTGAGCTAGATTAAAATATAATTAGGCTAGAATAGTAGAGTCAAATATGTTGTAGAAATTATGCCTTGGATTGGGCCAAAGAATCCTCAACACCACCCCGCAAGCTGAGCGTCGGATTGGAGTAGACGTGAAGCTTTAATCGAAAGAATTGAAAAAGTGGTCGAGGGAGACTTTTGGTGAAGATGTCAGCAACCAGTAGGTGAGATGGGACGAACCGAGTGTAAAATTTGCTTGAGAGGACAAGTTCCTGAAGGAAGTGGTAGTCTAATTCAACATGTTTGGCTTGTTTGTGAGAAATAGGACTGGAGTTCAAAAATGTGGCACTTTTATTGTCATATAAAGGAAGGGCAGCTGTGGAAGTGACTCCTGTAAGTCCTGAAGAAGGTGTGTAATCCAAAGAAGCTCAGCGGCAACGTGAGCAAGGGCATGATATTCAAATTCATAGCTAGAACGAGAGACTGTGAGTTGCTTATTAGCACTACAAGAAACCAAATTCCCTCCAAGATAGATGGAGTAACTAGAGGTAGATCGACGAGTATCAAGGCATCCAGCCCAATCAATATTAGAGTAAGCAATGAGAGCACCAGGAATAGTAGAGGGAAGAAAAATGAGGCCAAAATGAAGGGTGCCCTTCACATAGCGAAGGATATGCTTAACTGCAAGAAAGTGGTCTGTTGTTGGAGCGTGTAGAAATTGACTGAAAGAATTGATAGCATGAGCAATATCAGGACGTATAATAGTCAAGTATTGTAGGGCGCTAATGAGAGATCTGTAAAGAGTAGGATTGGAGAGCAGAGGACCTTCTGCAGATAAGTTCTGAGAAACAACCATAGGAATATGCACTGGTTTGCTGTCAAGCAACTGAGCTCGAGTAAGAATATCCCATGCATATTTCAGCTGATTGATAAAAAGACTATCTTTAGTTGTCGAAGCTTCAAGGCCAATGAAGTAGCTAAGAGAACCCAAATTCTTAGTGACAAACTTAGAATTGAGTTTGCAAATGAATCTGTCGATGGGAGAAGAGTTGTTGCCAGTGATAATAATATTGTCAACATAGAGGAGCAAATATATGATATTGGAGGGCTTGTGGAAAACAAATAGCGAAGTGTCAGCCGGACTACAATAAAATCAAAGCTGAATAAGGAAGGAGTTGAAGCGCTGGAACTAAGCACAAGGTGCTTGCTTTAGACCATAAAGAGCTTTTTTCAACTGATAGACATGATTAGGAAAGTGATGATCAATATATCCTAGAGGCTGCTCCATGTAGACATAAGAGTGCCATTTAGAAATGCATTCTTAGCATCAAGTTGGCGAAGAGGCCATTTGTTAGTCTCAGCAATAGATAGTACAACGCGAACAGTGGAAGCCTTAATAACAGGACTAAAGGTATCATTGTAGTCGAGACCAGGCACCTGTGTATAGCCCTTGGCAACAAGACGAGCTTTGAAATGCTCGATGGATCCATCAGACAAATATTTGGTTCTGAACACCCATTTGGAGCCCACAATGTTGGTGTTAGGAGGCCTAGGAACCAAAATCCAGGTGTGGTTATTTTGTAAGGCTTGCATTTTTTCATCCATGGGAGCAAGCTAGGCAGGATTCTTTGTAGCAGATTTGAAACTTTTAGGCTCAGTAGAAGCAAGAAGAGCACAAAGAAGACTAGAGGAGCCCAAGATGTCAATGTTTGTCAGATAGCGCATTTTGAAAATACTAGCCTTGGCCGTGTGATCATAGGGTGAGAGCCTAATGGAGATGCTAGAACTGGAGTGAGATCGTGAACTTAAGGAGCGGTATTAGACTCAACATAAGATGATCTAGGGACTAAGTGTACCAAAGTAGAACCTGCATTAGAATCAGTAGCCTGCATAGACTCATCCACTGGATCAGTACAAATAATACAGGGATCTGATCAGGATGTACTAATAGAAGGAGAATGATGCTTAGGGAGAGATGGATTTGTATAGGATCAGCTGGGCTCCAAAAAAATTGAAGATTGGAGAGGTGAGATAGGTTGAGCATGAGAGGTTCCAAAAGAAGGAAAGTGATGTTCATCAAACTGTGCATGTTGAGTGATGCATAGTCTAGAGGTTGTGGGGTCGAGGCAACGAAACCCTTTATAGGAAAGACTATAGCCCAAAAAAATGCATGGGATGCTGTGAAGGGAAAATTTGTCAAACATGAAATCTCGCAAACAAAGATAAACACGACAACCAAAGGGA